GAGTCGATTGTTATGATAAAACTAACCCAATATAAATTGGCTCATTTGTGTAATAACCCAATACCAAGAGGCCCAAACAGAGGTTCAATTGGCCCATAACTATTTTATTTGCAGGCCCAATACAATATTTTAACTCAGAGTGATATTTGATTTTTTTTTTTTTTATTTACATAATTTTTTACCACTCATCTGCTCACCAAATGGATGTTTTAACAGCTGGTTAAAGCTGTCATCAAATCTTATCATGGTTTATTTATGCTGCACCCGATGAAGTTTATCGAATAGATACACATAATCACACGCGTGTATGTATATGTGTGATTGTGTTTAAATCTACGATATATTTCATATGGTGTAACATCTAGGTAACCATAACATGAAAGTAAATTTGCAATTAAATCATCTGTTACAAATTACATCTATTATCAAATTTTATCCAGTAAAAGTTACCATCGAAAATTGTTCGAAAAATCAACATCCGAATTTCCATCGAAACTGAGCTACATAAAAGTTTGAACTTTTATTGGTCAATCTCACCCACCCCTCGAACCCCTCTCAAGAAAACAACATGTGCCGAATACGAAAAATCATTACATTGCGTTTTCTTGTCTTTACAAGTATTAACAAGAACCTATAGAAACTCGAAGAAAGTAAGTAAAAAAAACATCTATGAGCGAAATTAATCGATTATTCACACTGAACATAACTATGGCTAATTAATCTTGAAAAGCAGAGCAAGCACGTATGGTAATTAACAACTCGGATATTACGACGTATCACGCTACTGAGTAAGTTTCTGAGTCGGTGAGATAAACCTGTGATTGGATAATTGTCTTGCCGATTCTGAATCCAGGCACAACTGTGAATCCCACTCTCGGCCTCGTTTTTCGTGGGAAACTAGGTTTCCTCAAGACATCCTCCATGTAGACAATCGAGAATTCGACTCCTTTCTCCACCTGAAATATCTCAACCGTTGGATTGAACGAATATGCCAGCTTGTGGAGTAGCCAAATCGAACTTGCCATTCGAACAAACGACTCGTAAAACACGGTCAATGACTTCCATGAATCCAATACTTTCTCCTTTCTATCTAAACCGCTGAAAATCGATGACTCCATTGTTGGGTGAATGAGTTCCTCGTACTTTTTCTCGCAGAACTGAGAGAACTCGCATTTTGGATTCTTGCTCAGGATCTCCATCGGATTGCTCGCAACGTGTTCGATTAATTGCCTCAGATAACTATTGTTGTTGTTTTCGATTGTACCATTTTCATTACACATAGCTTCACTGCCGTGTAATCCGAAATGAGGTTTATCGAAATTCTGACACATTCCCAAGCAGATATATGACAAAAACGCGTACCGAAAATGGCCCTTTTTCGCGTAATTCACTTGCGGATGGACAGAATTAGCCGCTTCCTCCAAATCCCAGCCAGCTCGTCGCATCAAATCGATCAACAACTTCACGAAGCAACGCAGTGAATGAAGTGAATCTCCGAGCATTGCTTCGAAAACCCTAATTGTCAACAAAACCTCCAAACCAGAACCCAAATTTCCCTCTTTCAGACCCGA